GCATTCTGACTGTACCTTTTCCAAAACAGTTTTGTCCGTTCTTTTGGTAGTCCATGATATTTTCAGTATTCTTTGCCAACACCACAACTGTAGTATTATAACTCAAGGCTTGAATTTTCTCTTCAGTTCTTTCACCTTGAGATTTACTGAGTGTGTTCTTCCCTTTTGGTTTTCTAACTCAAGATCTTTGCACATTTCATTATAATACTTTGTCTTCTTGAGCCATCCTTTGAAATCTTCTGTCCAGCCCTTTTACTTCATCATTTCTTTTATTCGCTTCAACTACTCTCCATTCCAGAGCAAGTGTCAGAATCTCTTTTGACATCCATTTTGGTGTTTTCTTTCTTTCCTGTCTTTTTAATGACCTTTTGCTTTCTTCATTCTTGGGAGCTCTGGTGGCATAGTGCCTAAGGCATTTGACTGCTACCCAGAAGTCTGGTAGTTCAAACCCACCAGCCACTCCTTGGAAAGAAGATTGGGCAATCTACTTTCCATAGTGATACTGCCTCGGAAATCCAAGCAGGGGTCGCTGTGAGTTGGATCCGACTCAAGGGCAGTGAGTTTTTTTTTTTCTGCTTTCTTCATGTATGTCATCCTCTAACTTGTTTGGTTCTTAATGTCATCCTGTAACTTGTTTGGTCTTCAGTCACTGGTGTTCAATGCGTCAAATCTATTCTTCAGATGGTCTCTAAATTCAGGTGGGATGTACTCTTGTGGACTTGTTATAATTTTCTTCAGCTTCATCTTAAACTTGGCATATGAACAATTGATGGTCTGTTTCACAGTTCCCCGTGGCCTTGTTCTGACTGATGATATTGAGCTTCTCCGTTGTCTCTTTCCACAGATGTAGTCAGTTTGATTCCTGTGTATTCCATCTGGTGAGGTCCATGTGTAAAGTCACTGTTTATATTGTTGATAAAAGGTATTTGCAGTGAATAAATCATTGGTCACATAGAATTCCATCATGAGCTCTCCCACGTCATTTCTTTCACCAAAGCCGTATTTTCTGACTGCTGTGATGCCTTGGTGATGGAAATAATGCTGGAGAACACATGATAGAATTTTGCAAGACCAACAACTTATTCATTGCAAATACCTTTTTTCAACAACACAAATGGTGGCTATACATGCGAACTTCACCAGATGGAGTACAGAGGAATCAGATCAACTACATCTGTGACAAGAGGTGATGGAGAAGCTCAATATCTTCAGCCAAAACCAGGCCAGGAGCTGATTGTGGAACAGACCATCAACTGCTCATATGCAAGTTCAAGTTGAAGTTGAAGACAATTAAAACAAGTCCATGAGAGCCAAAATAATGATCGTGAATATATCCCTCCTGAATTTAGAGACCATCTAAAGAATGTGGAAATTATTGAACAATATGATTAAGATTACATGCAAGTAAAATTTTGTTGAAGATAATTCAAAAACAGCTGTAGCAATATATTGATAGGGAACTTCGAGAAATCCAAGCTGGATTCAGAAGAGGATGTGGAATGAGGGATATCATTACTGATGCCAGATGCATCTTAGCTGAAAGCAAAGAATACCAGAAAGATGTTTACTTGTGTTTTATTGACTATGCAAAAGTGTTTGTGCAGATCATAACAAATTATGGATAATGCTGAGAAGAATGGCAATTCTAGAACACTTAATTGTGCTCATGAGGAACCTATACATGGACCAGGAGGGTGTCGTTGGAACAGAACAAGGGGATACTACATGGTTTAAAATCAAGAAGGGAGTGTGTCAGGGTTGTATCCTTTCTCCATACTTATTCAATCTATATGCTGAGCAAATAATCCGAGATCCTGGATTATATGAAGAAGAACATGGCACCAGGATTGGAGGAAGACTCATTAGAACCTGTGATACGCAGACAACACAGCTGTGCTTGTTGAAAGTGAGGATGACTTGAGGTACTTACTGATGAAGATTGACGACTGTAGTCTGCAGTATGGATTGCACCTCAATATAAAGAAAACAAAAATCCTCATAACTGGACTAATAAACAACATCATGATAAATGGAGAAAAGACTGAAGTTGTCAAAGACTTCATATTACTTGGTTCTACAGTCAACACCTAATGGAAGCAGCAGTTAAAGTCACAGACACTGTATTGCCTTGGGCAATCCGCTGCAAAAGACCTCTTTAAAGTGAAGAGCAAAGATGTCTCCTTGAAGACTAAGGTGCACTTAACTCAAACCATGGTATTTTCAGTCACCTGTTATGCATATGGGCAGCTCTGGTGGCATAATGCCAGAAAGTTGGCAGTTCAAACCCACCAGCCACTCCTCAGAAGAAAGGTTGGGCAGTCTACTTCCATAGTGATACTGCCTTGGAAACCCAAGGAGAGGTCGCTATGAGTCGGGTCCGACTCCATGGCAGTGGTTTGTTCGTTTGTTCTTAAGCATGTGAGAGCTGGACAATGAAAAAGGAAGACCAAAGAAGAGTTGATGCTTTCGTGTTGTGTTGCTGGCGAAGAATACTGAGAGTACCATGGACCACTAAAAGAGCTAACAAATGGAAGAAGTGCTGCCAGAATGCTCCTTGGAAGTGAGAATGGCCAAACTTTGTCTGACCTACTTTGGCCATGTTATCAGAAGGAACCATTTCCTGGAGAAGGACGTCATGCTTGATAAAGTGGAGGGTCAACGAAAGAGAGGAAGGTCCTCAACAAGGTGGACTGACACAATGGCTGCAGTGATGGGCTCAGGTATGGTGGGAATCATGAGGCTGGCACAAGACTGGGCAGTGTTTCGTTCTGTTGCATGTAGGGTCACTATGAGTCAGAGATGACGGCACCTAAGGATGACAATAACACGATGCTTCTTTGTTTCTGCCTTTCCATTTGTAATCACCAGTAATTATCTATGCATTTTGATTTCATGTTTAGTCAATTTCAAACTGCAGAAGTTGGTAAAAATCTTTAATTTCTTCCTCTTTGGCTTTAGTGGTTGATGCACAAATTTGAGAAGAGTAGTATTTACTGGTCATCCTTGTAGGCTTGTGGATATTATCTGATTGTGGATAGCACTGTACTTCAGGATCGATCTTGAAATGTTCGTTTTGATGATGAATGTGATGCCATTCCTCTTCAGTTTGTCATACCTGTAGTGGTAGACCATATGATTATCTGATTCATAATGGCCAATACCAATCCATTTCAGTTCACTAATGCCTAGGATATAAGTCTTTATGCATTCCATTTCATTTTTGGCAACTTCCAATTTTCTTAGATTCATACTTTATACATTCCACATTCTGATGATTAATGGATGTTTACAGCCATTTCTTCTCATTTTGAGTTGTGCCACATCAGCCAATGAAGGTCTTTCTTCCTAGTCTAGAAGTTGTGCTGAAACCTGCCTACCATGGGTGACCCTGCTGGTTTTTGATGCACATTTGGCATAGCTTCCAGCGTTGCAGCGACACACAGGCCACCACAGTACAATAAACTAAGAGATGAGTGGTTGATCCCGACACCTGTGAAGATTAGTAATCCCCTAATGAAGAGGGTGTGGCGTAGTTGGGAGATAGGAGACTTACGGGGTAGTGGGTTGCAGGGAGGCTAGAGGGAGATGCCAGCTTTGCCTGCTGGTCGTGGTGATGTGAGAGATTAAACAGGCCTCAGCTTGAGAGGACTGCAGGGCGCTGGAGAGCCTCTTGGGTAGTTTGATGGTGCCGGAGTAGGAGCTCTAGGGTAGAAGAGTTTGATAGAGAGGCTAGAAGTGTTGTGATTGGTAAGGTGAAAGATATGCAGAGCCATGTGGGATGCTAGTTCGGGAGATGATAAATGATTGGAGAGTGGGATAGGGTTTGAATGTAGAGTTTTCCAGAGTTATTTCAAATTTGTTGAGCACAATTTGAGTACCTGTAATGTTCACTAGATCATTTCAATCATAGAATGATAGGTTGTTAGAGACTTTTTTTCCCCAAATAGATTCATAGGTGTTTCTTTTTGCCTTCTAAGAAAGATTCTTCATCTGAATGATGAGGGATTGGACATATATTGGGACATTCTTTGAATTTTATTTGGGTTCTTTTTCAACCCTTTTTGAGTCTATATTGATTGCAATTCTCTATTCAAAGAATAATAAGTAACTTTGAATTTCATACATAATTTTAATTTGCATTTTGCTCGATTCTGCCATTATATTGAATCATTCCTATAAAATTGGAAAGTGCTGATATTATGTATAATTCTTTTATATATGTATATTATATATGTACAGTTCTGAGGAGCTCTGGTGACATAGTGTCTAAGGCATTTGAGTGCTAACCAGAAGGTAGGCGGTTCAAAGCATCCAGCCACTCTGTGGAAGGAAGATTGGACAATCTATTTCCATAAAGATTTACCGCCTTAGAAACCCAAAGGGGGTTGCTATTGCTTTTTGGTTGTTGTTGTTGTTTTATTTATAGTTCTAATTAAATGTCTCCTCCATCCAGTTCTCTTTGTCCAGGATCTCTTGTATTATTAGTATTATTTTTCCAATCAGTGGATGATAATGATCTTGCCTATCGGTTACTAGCAGGTTGTTAGATTTATTATCATATGGTAATCAGTAGAGAGAAGGGCAAGAGCTCAGACTTGTTTAGGTGACATGAACCAGTTTTAGAACTGAAACTTTCCTTTTAACAACATCAAGAGTTGCTGTGGGGTAATGCATGTGATTACTGACTTAAAATTTATACAAGTTAGTTCTTTAAATACAAAACAAGCATAATGGAAAATAATAAGCTTTGCTAACAGTATTAGATGTATGTCTTTCATTGCTAGTTTTATAGCTTTATTAAATGTTAACCTACATAAGAATTTCTTAGGATTTAATTGGAAGTGCTACTTATTTGTTGTAAATTTCCAGCAAGTTTTTCATGCTGAGGTTATTTATGATGTCAAATGAAAAAAAATCAACTTCCTGTAGTTTTGATGCCAAATATTTCTTTGGAAAGCTACCGTGTAATTTCCTCTCTGCTTGAACATTTTGGTTTTTAGGGAGCTGAAAATTGCTTGGAAGGCCTTATATTTGTAATCACAGGAGTGCTGGAGTCAATTGAACGAGATGAGGCCAAGTCTCTAATTGAGCGTTATGGGGGGAAAGTAACTGGAAATGTCAGCAAGAAAACAAACTACCTTGTCATGGGCCGGGATAGCGGACAGTCCAAGAGTGATAAGGTGGGTCCTGCTGTGTAATCAACATATTGAAATAGCTTGTTCACCTTGGCAGGCTCTGATAGGAACTTTACACAGAGTTAAGTGAAGAAAACAAGATGGAAAAATCATCTTGCCTACATTATTTTTCTTCACAGATGTGTTATTGGCTTTGACCTCTGGACTTTGGCTTTCCTGTTGAAGGCACAGTTCCCGTTTACTTGACTCTGTTGGTATATACTCAGCTGAAGTCTCTTTTTGAAGATAGAAACAAATACAGTTTTCTTTTTTTTCTGGTCATAAGTAGTCTACATATGCTACTGTGGATTCCATTTTAACTTTATTTGAAGGAAGACTCAGGTCTGGTGGGTAGGATTGTATTTAGCTTCAAGTAACAGAATAACCAAATGATCATGGTTTATTGCTTATTTTCCTCAAGAATGCCAGAAATAAGCAATTGCTGGGGATGGCTCAGCAGTTCAGTCATGTAGTCTGATTATTTTCATCTTTAACGCTTATTGTGTTAACTTTACTCCTCAGGAGTGGTGCCTTGAGGTTGCAAGGTAGCTGCAGTTCTAGGCATTCAAGCCTACTTTTAAGGCAAGAAACAAGGAGAAGTAGCAAGATACCCTATTAGCCATGACTATTCTCTTTTATTAAGAAAGGAAGAATTTTCCCAGAAACACCTGTATAATTCCACTTAAGTCTCACTGGCCAGAACTGGTTACATGACCACTCAGAACTGCAGGAGAGGTTGGAGAGGATCAGGACTCTCTTGATTGCCATAGACCAGTCATGACCTGTCACCTGGGAATGGACATAACTCTGTTAGCTAGGAAGAAGGTGGCCATAAGAGGCAAGCATGGGAGACAGTGTGAAGAACCGACTTTAGCTTCTAGTAGCTTTGCCTTTTTTAGGGTAGAGAGAGTAGGTAAAGTAATCCACAGGAGTCGTAATGTGACCCTTTGAGTGCCAGCCCACCCCTCGAAGTTTCCCATCATGTTCTTTCTTGTTAATAGTACTTTTCTGATGAGTATGTTTTTTGTATTCCAGTGTTTTTTGATTTGCAAATGTGGTTTTTCACCTACTGATCATATTTTTATGTAAAATAAAGTCATAGTGTACATATTTGATAGTATCATATTTTTACAGAAAGGATGCAGTTTTAATGACTTGGATTTTTTAATCAATAGGCAGCAGCCTTGGGAACAAAAATTATCGATGAAGATGGCTTATTGAATCTGATTCGAAATATGCCAGGCAAAAAGTCCAAGTATGAAATCGCAGTTGAAGCTGAGGTTTGTATATGATGAATTTGATTTCTTTAACTTGGGATATTGTTTCATCTCTTGGGTGGATACAGGCCTGTTGGCTAAAAGATTAACTTCTGCTTCTGCCACAAATGAGCTTATGCTACTTCCTTTTGAACTGGAGGACTCTGCTTCAGAGTGTTGTCTTTGGTATATTTTCTTACCTTTTTCAGAGGAATATGAGGATAGAGATCAATGTGTTAGACTTAGCATATCAACCTAGTATTAAATATTCATGTTTTCTTGTTTTGACTTTTTGTAAAAGTTGTTGCCTAAGAGTTCTTTAAACGATACACTATAGGTTAGTCAGCATGATACGTTCATTGTCAAGAGCTATGTTAGGACTTTTTCAGTTGTGACAGACACTCACCCCATGTTAGCTTTAGCAGAAAGGGGAAACATACTGGTGTATATAACTCAACTATGGCCGGGTAGGTCTTGTGTAGCAGCTGCTGGCTCTAGAGACTGTGAATGCTTCCAGGGCCTTTTCCGTTTCTCTCTCTCTGCTTCTCCTAGTGTGAGCCTCATTCATTCCCACTGCACACAGGTCTTTTCCACGCACAGGACCCAGGGTACTGGCAAGCCAAGATTAATGTCTCTAGCTCTGTCACCTTAGAGGTGAGATGGTCTTCCCAGTTTATTCCAGTGAGAAAATGTCTGGGGAAGGATTTGGGTTGGCCCTATACCCAACATCTTCTAATATTAACAACTTACATAGGTATGGTACTGAAATCAGGTAATTAACATTGGTACAATACTGTTAACTACACATGGCTCTAGAACTTCTGGTTCTTGCCTGCTGTCCTTTCTTTGCTCCAGTATCCAGTCCAGACCCCACCCAGTCTGTGATGGTTCCTCAGCCTTTCCTTACCTTTTATGATCTTAACACTTTTGACAAGTCCTGGTCAGTTTCATGAAATATCTCTCCATTTGGGTTTCTTTGATATTTTCTCATGATTAGAATGAGATTGCACATTTTTGGCAAGAATACTGCAGAAGTGATGCTATATCCCAGAAGTATATTATTTTGCATGTACCTGTAGTTGGTATGTCTTATTACTGGTGATGTTAACCTTGAGTACTTGCTTAAGATGATGTCTGTTGGGTTTCTCCACTGTAGTAAAGTGACTAGTTTGCCCTTAGTAATTGATAGCTGTTTTGGGGGAGATAACTTGAAGACTATGCTAATACCCTGTTTGTCAAACTCCCACTTTCACCCACTGATTTTAGCATCCACTGATAAAGAGACACTAACTTTTTAAAAATTGAAGTATTTTTCACATACTATAAGAGTCATTCTTTTAAAGTTTATATTAGTGATTTTTTAGCATCTTTACAGGATTGTACAACCATTCCAGAACATTTTTCTCACCTCAAAAAATAAAGCCTGCAAAGACCAGGCTTACTGGTCTGATAGATCCTGGTGAGACCCCTGAGATTGTGGCCCCTAGTTACCCTTCAGGTGTGGAACTGAGCTCACTCCTGTAGCTTCTAGCCAAACAGTAGATAGGCATAGAGGGTGAACATTTACATCAGGTAGATACACTTCTTAGAATGATCATTCATGGGAGATCAGGAGGGCAGTATTTGCACAGGGACACAGGGAAGAGGTAACTACAGGGAGGAAGTGGGAAGAGAGCTGTTGTTACATTGTGGAAATTTCACTCAATGTCATGAAACAAAAGGTGGATGAACAGTATACTATATGGAAATGAATTTGCTCTGTAAACTTTCATGCACATCACAATACAAATTTAAACAAAGAGGAGGGGAAAAAAAAGCAAGCCTATACTGATTAGTAGGAGCTCTGGTAGCATAGTGGCTAAAGCACTTGACTGCTAACCAGAAGGGTGGCGGTTCAAACCCACCAGCCACTCCTCGGAAGGAAGGTTGGGCAATCCTACTTCCGTAGTGATACTGCCTCGGAAACCCAAGGAGGGGTCGCTATGAGTCGGGGCCGACTCGACGGCACATAACAACAACAACAACAACAACAACACATACTGATTAGTAGTCATTCTTCATGCCCTCCTGCCCCCAGCCCCTGCCAACCACTAATGTAATTTGTTTGCCTATTCTGGACGTTTCATATTTAATGTGATCCTTTGTGCCTGACTTATTTCACTCTGCGTGGTGTTTTCAGGATTCACCCATGTTGTAGCATCTATCATTAGTTTATTCCTTTTGTTCATGAGCCCACTGGGCAATGACAGGAGTAGCTGGGGAAAAGGGATGACTGGTTTCCACTGAACGTATCATCCTATCCACCTGATTGTTAAAGCCCACCTCTGCCAAGGTCATCTTTTGGTGAACATTCACATGAGACACAAATATCTTTACTCCTTTGGCCCATTCAGAGAGCTCTATCCACATACCTCTTCCCCATACATTCTTATCACCAATCTTCCAATCATGCTCCTTCCAAGTCCCAGACTATCCTGCCAAGCCATTGGCCACAGCCCATGAACCTGTCTACAGTCACGCATCTGGCCATATCTCATTCCATGCAGAGTGAACAGCCAGATGCATGTCTCAAGGTTCTGCCCATTGGGAGCATTTCCCTTCTCCACTGTCCTTCAGAGAAGTCCCAGAAAGAGGCTGCAGTGCCCCTGCTGTCCACTCTCGAGTGGGGCCTGTGTATCATGCAGAACCATCTGTAAACCAGGCACGAGTTTTCTCTTCCTTGTCATGTTGCTGTATTTACATTGTTATATCATTTATTTGTCTACTTATCAATTGATGGACTTTTGCATTATTTCCACTTTTTGGCTATTACAATGCTGCTGTGAACATTCATGTACAAGTTTTTGTGGAGTCATTAACTTTTTGTTTGCCAGAAAACTTTGAAATAAAAATCTCTTATTCACTCTTTTTCAAACCAAAGTTGGAATACTTATTTTTTAAAATATCCAAGAAACAGTGCTTCATAACCTATTTAATTTGTTCTCACTTAAAAAAAAAAATTACACTTGAGTATAATTCTGGCACATTTGTTGCCGATTGTTTTTTAAATTTGGGAGGTAGTGATTTCTTCAGAGAGCAGGGTCTAAAACACCAGCTCACTTGAGTATCTCAGGTTGCCCTCTAGAGTAAATGTAGTGGCATGGAAATTTTGCATCTCTCATCAGGTTTCTTTTTCTCATTTTTCTGATTTTTAAGATGAAGAAAGAACAGTCCAGATTGGAAAGAACACCCTCAAAAAATGACCAAGGAAAAAGAAAAATTAGTCCAAATAAGAAGGAATCAGAAGCTAAAAAGCGCAGGCTGACTCCCAAAAGGGACAGCTCTTTAAAGTCAATAAAAAAGGAAACGAGTATGCTTCGGAGAGACCTGGACTTTGAGGAGCAAGTGGCTGAGGCGACACATGTGGACAGTGGGGCTAGGGATTTGGCTGATGACAGCAGTGGACCCAGAGTGGAAACTTTGCTCTGGGTGGATAAATACAAGCCAACTTCGCTCAAGACCATAATTGGACAGCAGGGTGACCAGAGCTGTGCCAACAAACTCCTGCGCTGGCTTCAGAACTGGCACAAGGGTCCATCTGAAGATAAAAGACACGGTGATTTTACAGCTTCACTTATTTCCTGTGTGTGTCTGTCCACATGTGATTGCTCATTTGCACATATAGGAGGGTGTCGAACAGTTGGGTCAGTTACCTGCCAGCAGACATTTATTGAGAGCCTGCTCTGTGAGCCCAGGTGCTGTACTAGGGCCCTAGAGGTACTGTTGTGACCAAATCACAGTTTCTCCCCTCAAGGAACTCACATTTGCTGGGGGAGACATATATAGAGCAGCAATTAAAATGCATTGTGCCAAGTACCCTTATAGGGGCAGGGCTAGTGTGCTGTGGGCCAGGGAAATCTTCCTGGAACAAGTGAAGCCCTGGCCAAGACTTGAAAACCTGGACGAAGGGAGGGGGTGCATGTTGGGTGGGAAAGAGTTCTTACGCCGAGTTTGAAGACATGACGTCTAGGGTGCTGAGTGCGAGAGGACTAGGGAAGGCACATGACTGAAAAACTGTGGCATGCTTACAGGGTGGGGGTGGTGGTGTTATGTGCCCTCAAGTCGTCTCCAACTCATAGCCTGTATTTTGTCAGAAAGGAAACTCTTAAAAAAAAGTGTTTGAAATCAGAGGTTTAAGGTTTAATTTTTAATTTCAAGTGTGTGTGGGGGTGGGGTGAGGTAGGGAGTAGAATTTGACTAAATGCTCTGGAAATTGTTTATACTTTGTGGAAAATACTCTGCAAATATAGACCTGAACTAGAGGACTGCTCTTGATGCTGAGTTTATACACAACTGTTCTTGCCATTCCTGAATTTCTGTTAGGTAATAACTGGTTGACGTTCTGAAACTTCTTTTTCTCTAGCAGCAAAGTTTGGTAAATTTGCTGGCAAAGATGATGGGTCTAGTTTTAAAGCAGCATTGCTCTCGGGCCCTCCAGGGGTCGGCAAAACCACCACAGCTTCCCTGGTGTGTCAGGTGGGTGCTTTGTCGTTGTGCAGTTGGAAAGGTTACCTGGCAGTGGGCATGTGTGGAAGGGGGATGTGTGCATGTGCGCATGCATGTGTGCACATAGGATGGAATATGGATTATATTTTAAGCTGCTGTGTATATACTCTTAAACAAAATCAAGCTTTTAGAATTTGCTTTAGTTCTGGTAATATTTGTCATTTTTATCCTTTTCTGATTGGTAATTATATTCATAGGTAGCATTTACCTGTGTGCCAGGCAGTGTGCTATGCTGTTGTTGTTGTTATTTGCGCTGGAGTTGGACCCTACTCACAGCGACCCCTCCTTGGGTTTCTGAGGCAGCATCACTACGGAAGTAGATTGTCCCATCTTCCTTCCAAGGAGTGGCTGGTGGGTTTGAACCCCCGGGCCGTATGCTGTGCACTTGGCTGTAATATCTTATCTTCACATAAATGTCTTATTGATCCTTATGTGTAAATACAGGTACTTTACAGACCTGCATAGTGTTTCTGTGAGGCAGTACTGTGGTCCTTATCTGACAGTGAGGCGGGCTTAGAGAGGAGGCCGAGGCACTGGGAGCCCAGGCGGTCAGACACAGTGTCCACTCTTTACCACTGTATGACGCTGCCTCTCTTGTTTGTTGTTTCAGTCACTGTCCCATCTCTAGACAGTGAGGCAACCCGATCCGCTTTGGCCCTAGAGCAAATCAGTGCTTATGTGTTGGGATCACAGTGATAAAAGAAGGGGTTGTAAATTTCTTTTAAATTTACTGCTGGGTTCCCTAAGCCTCTGTCCCATGAGCTGGTGGTTTGTTTTGATCTTTGTTATATGAACCAGAGAGTAAATTTTTAGCAGATACATCAAGTTGCATCAGCCAGAACCTGTATAAGGAACAAGGCTGTCAGAGACAGAAAACGCAAATATTTTGCATTCAAATGAGCAATAGAAAAGTGATGTTTTAGTTAACTAGTGCCACTCTGACAGGAATATACCACAAATGGGATGTCTTGAAGAAACAGGAGTTTATTCTTTTACATTTTGGAGGCTTTAAGTCCGAGTTCAAAGTGCCAGACTCTAGGGGCTGGGTGAAAGCCCCTCAGCCTTGGGGTCCAGCTCTGCCTCCTGCTCCCGGCCCACTGGAGCTTGAGGCTTTTCTTCACTCAGACAGCTGCTGGCTGCTGAGGCTGAGAAGCCCCAAGGTTGTCAAGTGAAAAAGGCACAGTCCCGATGTTACCAATCCACACGGCAGGCCATTAATTCAAGTCCATTGAAAGTCCCAAGGTCAGCAGAGCATGGCAGGCTGCTGAATGAACGGCCACTTGCAGGGTTCAAGCATGCCATGAGCTAGAGACCGTTCCCAAAACTGCTGCTTATATATGGGAAGCAGACCATATCCCTAAAGAAGCTACTCAGCTGCACACAGTGGATTCCACCATGGAGTTGATTACCAGTCTCATCATGAGGAATACTACATCCAGCTGCCCGGCCATCCAACCAGGCCCAACCAAGTTGACCCCTCCTTGGGTTTGCGAGGCGGTATCACTACAGAAGTAGTTTGCCCAACCTTCCTTCCGAGGAGTGGCTGGTGGGTTTGAACCGCCGGCCGTATGCTATGGACTTAGGTGTAATATCTTAGCATCACATAAATGTCTTATTGATCCTTACGTGTAAATACAGATACTTTACAGACCTGCATAGTGTTTCTGTGAGGTAGGTACTGTGGTCCTTATCTGACAGTGAGGCAGGCTTAGAGAGGAGGCTGCCACAAGTGGTAAGACTGCAATCCTGTGAAAGTCGGTAAACTTGTGAGACTCTGAAAAATGGGCAGTCCAACCAGTTCTGGCTCTCACAGGTTTCACTTATAAGAACAATGTAGTTATCATTGTATTCATAGACATTTTTTAAAAATAAAAAATCTGTTTTTTTTCCTGCCCTTACAGTTGTGAACATGATTGTTTTCTCCCTTTACTCCTTTGTTGTTAATTACTTTTTTGGAAACGGAATTAGACATTTCATAAGCTGATTAGTTTAGGGTATCAAAATAATTTGATTTTTCATGGTTTATGAGGAAAATTGTTTGCTGGCTAGTTGGACAAAGAATAGTTTTACTTTATAATGTATCTTAAAAAGATAATAGTTGCCTTTGTTTTATACAAAAGATTAATTCTGTACCTGATAATGAAATCCTAGGATGGTCATAGTTAATTCTTTCTAGGATTTTTAGAAGGAGCTCTGGTAGCATAGTGCCTAAGGCACTTGACCATTTACCAGAGTGCTGGAGGTTCAAACCCATCAGCCACTCCTCCGAAGGAAGGTTGGGCAATCTACTTCTGTAGTGATGCTGCCTTGGAAAGCCAAGGAGGGGTCGCTATGAGTTGGGTCCGACTCAGTGGCACATAACAACACAACAACAGGGTTTTTAGAAATAATCTTAGTAAAATTACTTTGTCAGATATACTCTTCTAAATGCCGTTTTCAAACCCAAGTGTGTGTGTGGTATGTTTGTAGATAGTATTTTTAAAATCTCATCGTGAATTTTATGCACTTGGGATATATTACAACATAAATGTCTTATAGATACAGATACTAAGTTAACCTCATTGTCTGTTAGTATCATTTGTTTCTTTTTAGTCATTTAAACCGTGACTCTTTATGTTTGTTTTTTTTAATCTCCTTTCTTCCTTAACTGCCTTGCTTTTTTTGGGGGCGGGGTGTTTAATTTGCATTGTGATGGTGGTAATGGTTTCCTGTATTTTGGTTAGGAATTGGGATATAGCTATGTGGAACTGAATGCAAGTGACACTCGGAGTAAGAACAGTTTGAAGGAGGTTGTTTCTGAATCACTGAATAACACCAGCATCAAAGGCTTTTATTCAAGTACGTGGCTTTTTGAACTGTTCTTTAGTTCTGTAAAAAAAACAAGCTCATCTCCATGTTAACTAACAGGTGTTGAACAACAAGCTCATCTCCATGTTAACTGACAGGTGTTGAACAGGACCATGTGCCAGGCACCCTGCTGCATTCTGGGGCTGAAAAGACTAAGAAAGGCCTCGGATGTAACTCTTACCGGGTGACATCCTTATCATTTTTTAGGTCTTAAAGGTTCCTAAGAGTCTGATCCCAGTGCGCACGTTGCCCATATTTATACATTTTGTCTTAATAGCGAATTCTCAGGTTGAGTCCTGTGAAGAGGGAAAGAAAATAAAGAAGTAACTGTAATCCAGTGAGATAAGAGGCCTGCGCATGAGGAAGTCGTTCTGTGTGGGGCGTGGGGAAAGCGACCAGTAACGGGTGGTTTTGAAGGATGAGACATAAACCATTTTGAGTGTGGAAGAGGTCTTCCAAGACACAGGGAGAAAAGAGGAGTAGAGACAGAGTGAGAGTGCACTCCTGCAGATTGTAGCTCGTGGTTCTGTGTGGCCAGAATTTATGGGGAAACATTTCCCAAATTAAGGACCCAGCAGTGCATGCTCAGAGCCTCTGGAACGTGCCTGGCCACCTGTATCCCAGGTACTTGTGGTGGTGGGCCTTCATTAGGAAGATGAAACTGCTCAGGAAGTGACACTTTCATACATGGCTGGTGGGACTGTCAATGGTACGGCCCTGGGGAGGGCAACCTGGCTGTTTGCCAGAGTCAAAATCACACATACCCTTTAGGGCAGAAATCCCAATTCCTGGAATTTCGCTACTGCTATACCTGTGTATGGGAGCTCTGGTGGCATAGTGCCTAAGGCATTTGACTGCTAACCAGAAGGCTGGTGGTTCAAACCTGCCAGCCACTTTGTGGAAGGAAGACTGGGCAATCTACTTCCGTAGAGATACCGCCTTGGAAACCCAAGGAGGGTCGCTATGAGTTGGAATCGACTCAACGGCATTGAGTTTTGTTTGAGACCTGTGTGTGTGTGGGAAGTGTCATCTGTATAAGGAGGTTGATTTGGTATGATTTGTAACAGCCGTAGACTGGCAGCATCCTGATAGTTCATCAGTAGATCGTGATTAAGAACATGATGATGTGTAAAATGGAATATTAGAAAGTGTTTTTTTTTTTTTTTTTTAAATGAGATGTTCCATTTCCACTGATAGAGAACAAATCACCAAAATATATTAAAGGGCAAAACCAGTGTATATTTGTGCACATATATTTTTAGTATGTACAGAATCTCCCTTATAAGAAAGACATTGTTACGACGTTTGCCTCGGGTGGGGGAAAAGGGGCGGGCGAGGGAGGGGGCTTTCTTTTCACTACCTACTCTTTTGTACTTTTTTGAATTTGTTAGCATAGACTTGTATTTCTGGTGCAAAATGTCATTTAATTGATTTAAAGCCGTAGTTTTTGAACAGTCATTATTTTTGTCTTGTTCTATTGCTTCTGAACATGGGTCAGGTGGCACCGGCCAGTCAGTCAGCACCAAGCACGCTCTCATCATGGATGAAGTAGATGGCATGGCAGGAAATGAGGACCGGGGAGGAGTTCAGGTAATGGGGGCGTGTGTTTGTTGTTCTAGTGCTGATTTTTGCATGTTTTTATTATGTAAAGAAATAATATGCTCTAATAAGGCAATTAAGGCATGTTGCTGAGGAGTCTTTTTAAATCTAAAATGTTTTGTGTAGTAGTTTATTGTTTTGTAAATAATTATTTTTGTGTTGCAAATTTGACTTTCAGGAGTTAATTGGTCTGATAAGACATACGAAAATTCCCATTATCTGTATGTGCAATGATAGAAACCATCCTAAGATTCGTTCTTTGGTTCATTATTGTTTTGATCTTCGATTTCAAAGACCTCGGGTTGAACAGATTAAGGTATGATGATTGGGACTTTGTTTTTTTTCCTTTTCATCAAATTATCCTGTTTATGTAAGGGTCTGTTTTTCCAAGAATCTGATAAATATGTTTCAAGTATCTGGTTATATGAACTTTTAAAAAAAAATCATTAAAAATCCCCCCCTTGTCATTTTCAGGGTGCTATGATGTCTATTGCATTTAAAGAGGGTTTAAAAATTCCCCCTCCAGCTATGAATGAAATAATTTTGGGAGCTAATCAAGATATCAGACAGGTAAATTAAACATATGTGACTTTAGTTAATGATTCTTTTGATTTGATGCCTTTAGAGGGGGAGTATTTTCCCCCGTTGACATTGTCTTAACTTATTTGTGGTTCTTTTAGGTTTTACACAATCTGAGTATGTGGTGTGCACGAAGTAAGGCACTAACCTATGACCAGGCCAAGTCCGATTCGAATAGAGCCAGAAAGGATGTCAGACTGGTAAAAGAAACTTCCGTTTTTCAGTTACTTTCCTAAGCTTGAGGCCTTCATGCTTTCTGGGTATTAACTCAATAGAAATAGCCTTTATAGCTCCTCAGCCCACCTGCAGAAGCCTTGGATGTTTGTAAGAAGAGTCATAGACAGCTGCTAAAAGTATTTCTAATTCAAACTAATTTTTCTTTAAGTATTATCATTGTGTTTTGTAAGTTATGAGAGAGGATTAGTTTTAATTACACTCATGTTTCAGTTATTAAAGAAGTGACTTTTGCAGAGTCTCTTCTGTGTAGATTTCATCCTTTGAGTGTTTTGGAACTATTCAGAATACTGTTCCAAATGGTTGTGTTTAATAACCTCTCTGAAACTAGAGGTCTGTGTAAATTACCTCTGTGTTCCATTTCACCTCGTCATTAGTCAGGATTTATTCCAGCTAGAGCAATACCTGAGAAGTGGTTTTTTTGCTTTGCTTTTCTGTTATTATTTTTTAAATCAGGGCCCGTTTGATGTTGCCCGGAAAGTGTTTGCAGCCGGAGAGGAGACTGCTCGGATGTCGCTTGTGGACAAGTTGGATCTCTTTTTTCATGATTATTCAGTAGCACCACTCTTTGTCCAGGAGAACTATGTGCACGTGAAGCCTGTGGCCGCGGGGTGAGTGAGCTGAGGGGAGAGGTGGGGCAGGTGCCCTTCCCAGCACTCGAGGCAGACCCTCACAGGGAGGGCGGGGGAGGACAGTCATAGGAGCCACCCTGGTTCTCTCCTGCAGGGGCGACATGAAGAAGCACTTGATGCTGCTGAGCAGAGCAGCCGACAGCATATGCGACGGTGACCTAGTGCACAGTCAGATCCGGAGTAAACAGAACTGGAGCCTCCTGCCCACACAGGTTAGCAGGGTGCTCCCTTAAAGTGCGGACTCTGCCGTAGTTCAAGGGAACAAAACAGCGTTTACATACTGAAAGTTATACTGAGACAGCGTTTAGATGTTTGAAACTCCAGATAAACATTACAGCGCTTGTGGCAAAAATACAGTTTGTCATAGAGTAAAACAGTGTGGTCACCATTGCCCTTTTCTTAATCTTATTTTCTAATTGTTTTGGAAATACTCTTCTGTGAATGAACACATGGAAGTAGGAGTGTTAGATTTTGATTGTAACTAGAGATGTCGGTTGCAAATTTCACTTGCTCTGTTTAGTGGAATCCATTAATGTTTCCATCTTGGCTCTCTTGGATGGTGACCACATAGCTTCCCCACAGAGACATGCAGTCAGGCAGGGCGAAAGCCGTTTCTTGTCTATGTGAGTTCTGATTTTCTTCTTTTCTTGTTAAAGAGGCAGCAACTGTGTTTAGGTTGATGTCTTTTACTCAAAACTGAGTGTGGCAAATGTTTATAATTAAGAATGTTCTTATTTGAGTTGTGAATTTTTATACAGGATTGTAGGCCTAAATAACAATCAAGGTATCCTCAGAAGGCCTGCCTGTCTTCTCCCTCTACTCACACATGGAAAATAAACAAAAACTAAAATGCATTCTGGATATAACTCTTGTTTTAAAAAGTTTTTTTTTTTTCAACCCAATAAATTGTACCTTTGAGAATTTATCCTAAAGAAATAATTTCAAACATAATCAAACCAAAACCAAACGCAGATCTGACTCATAGTGACCCCTCCTCGGGTCTGAGGCAGTATCACTACAGAAGTAGATTGCCCAACCTACCTTCTAAGGAGTGGCTGGTGGGTTTGAACCGCCAGCCTTCTGGTTAGCAGTTAAGTGCCTTAGGCACTATGCCACCAGAGCTCATATTAGGACAAGCTTAATGTATAAAAATATTTGCTAAAGCATTATTTCTGAGAGCAAAAAATTGGAGATAGTCTCCATGTCCAGTAACATGAGAATGACTAGTTATGGTCGATCCTCATGATGGAATGTTATGCAGTCTTTAAAATTATTTATAAAGGTCATCTAATGAAAAATGCTTAAGATACAGTATTATTAGAATAAAGCTTTATGCAAAGTTATGTATACTACAGTAAAACTTGTGAAAGCCAGAACGTGTGTAAGGCAGAAACCTATCAGAGAAGGAAAACTCAAGTATTTGCCACGAAAACAAGCAACAGAAGGGTGGTAAGACTGTACCCTGTCAGTCGGAAAACTTATGAGACCCGGAGAAATAAGGCAGTTCTGTTGAGTTCTGGCTCTCACAGGTTTCACTCACAGGTTTCACTATATAATTCAAACCTTTAAAAAAGTGGAACTCTGGATACAGAAGATATATAAGGATGCTTTCTTTTACTTTTCTCAAGGATCAGTTTAATTTCCTAATGATTAGGACTTCCACGCTTTGATCCACCTATGGTATCAATAGCTATCTTTAAAGACAGTCATGTTCCTCTTAAACGGATTCTTTCCTGTGACATTGGTGTCCCTGAGGACTGATGTGTTGAGGTCAGTTGGCTGAGGTGGCAAGAGGATCTCTCTGAGGCAGCCTGCAATCTTCTGAGGGAGGTTTCCCACACGAGCCCTTCAGGTACAGAGTGAAACACCTGGCACAGGTGCTTTGTTTTCCATAACCTGCTAGGAGTCAGCAGCTGCGGAGGAAGCAACTTTGCACTGAACTTGCAATTCTGGACGACACTTGTCTTTTTCAGGCTGTTTATGCCAGTGTCCTCCCTGGAGAGTTAATGAGGGGGTACATGACTCAGTTTCCCACCTTTCCGAGCTGGTTGGGAAAGCACTCGTCAACGGGCAAACACGATCGTGTTGTTCAGGACCTGGCTTTGCATATGAGTCTCAGGTAAGCGGTATGACTGCGTTCTGGCGTTTTGTTGGTGTGGTGTTTTTAGCCTTTGTCCAAAATGGATAGCATGAGTCAAAGCTCTGTTTTAGTTTGATTTTACTGCTCAGTAGATCTATGGTCCTGGATAAGTGCCTTATGTTTTCTCAGCATTCGTTTTGTCATTAGGAATCAGGGTAACACTTGGTATACCACTTAGCCAGATGGTAATTGTGTCATTACTTGAAAATAAATTTAAAAACTACGTACATGTGATGCTATAATTTATCGTACTGTTACTATACTCCACTGCTAACTGAAAAGCCAACAGTTCAAACTCATCAGCCACTCCACGGGAGAAAGATGGGACAGTCTGCTTCTGTAAAGATTTCAGGTTTAAAAACCCTATGGGGCAATTCTACTCTGTCCTATAGGATCACTAGGAGTCAGAATTGACTCGACAGCAAGTTTATTACTATGCCTCTTACTACTTATAGGGATAACTTCTCAGCTTCAGAATAATTTTATAGGAAAAAATGAACTAGTTAAAAAAATAAACTAGTACTGTTAGTGAGGCTGAGTGTCTGGGGTTCTTGTTTTCTGTCTCAGCGACTAATGTCTCCCTTAAAAAAGAAGAAAATAAACTAGTTAAACTAGTTTGTACCTGTCCTAGCAGCTTAGTCATTTGCGATAGTCGATACAGTTTAACATGTAACAGGAAGAAGACACACCAATAATTGAAGACCAGTGCTCTTATTTTGAACATTTTACTGTGGTCTGGATGGAAGTTTACAGAGCAAATTAGTTTTCCATTTTCCAATTTATACATGTTTTTTTTGTGACTTTAGTTGCAGTCATCACAGTGTAATGACACTCTTCCCACGTCCTCCCTGGCCCCCCTTTCCTGCTCACCCATCTTTCCCGCTGCTTCCTTCCTTCTGAGCTTTATTTTTGGCAAACACTGCCTTTATGAGGTTGTGTGGTTGATAGTTCTTAGGAGCACATTCCTCATGGGTGTTACTGTTCACTTTATAGGCCAGTCTCTTATTTGGCTCAAAGGTGATCTCTGGGAGTGGGTTCAGTTATAGGTTTGAATAGTCTCCAAGGAATATTGTCTCAGGGGTTCCACCAGTATCTGTCAAACCAGTAAGTCTGGTCTTTTTTATGATATGAGTTTTATTCTACATTTTTCTCCTACACTATCTAAGACCTTCTACTGTGATCCCAGTCAGAGTGGTTGGTTGGTGTTTGCTGGATACTGTCTAGTTTTCCTAAGTAGTTTTTTAGGCTAGTAGAGGCTGTGTTTCACATGGTCTGTTAATCTTACGGATTAACATGGTCTGTTATTCTTATGGATTAACATGGTCTGTTATCTTATTGTTTTATTGAGTCTTTGATGTTCTTCACTCTTCTTTGACCTGAACGGGATGAGACCAATAGTTCTATCTTAGATGGCTGCGTATAAGATTTTAAGATCTAGTCACTACTCACCAAGTAAGATGTAGACATTGTCTTAATGGCCTTTGTTACGCCAATTGACTTAGATGTTCTCTGAGACTGTGGGCCTAAGCCCTCAAACCCAGTGAGTCAGCCTCTTAAGGTGTTTGCTTATGGCTAAGAAGTTTGTATAACTTTGCCCTCTGCATGCTTTACTATATGCCGGGATATATTTGTAGCACATACAAATGTGTGTGCAGAAATAACCTCTGCCAAGCCTGTGTGTTCGTGGGTGTGCTCCTGCACGCCGTCCCATGCCTCCTAAGCTTGTATCTCTACCTGTGTATCCACTCGGGAGTTACTGTCTGTTGCTGTTACTGCGGGATTTACTCGTGTCCCTCCCAGTGCCTTCCTTTCCCTTTCCCTGTTGTACTGAACTCTTGCTTGTTGTGTACTGACTTTCCCTTCACCCAGCTTAACACACGTCTGCTATCTAGACTTCATCTCACGTACTGTGGCCACGTTCTCAGGAGGGACCAGTCCCTGGAGAAGGACATCACGCCCGGTAAAGCAGAGGGTCAGTGAGAAAGAGGAAGACCTCCAGTGAGGTGGACTGACATAGGGCCCGCAGCAGTGGGCTCGAACGTAGCCATGGGTGTGAGGGTCACAGGGCCGGACAGGGTTTCCACTGAGGAACGTGAGGTTGCTATGAGTCAGAAACTGACTTGACGGCACATGACAGCAGTTGTCTAGTTAGTGATTTCCCCTCCTTCCTCTCTCCTTCCCTCCCTCTCCCATCCCTGGTAACCATCAAAGACTATTTCTTTCTGTGCATAAACCTTTTCTTGATTGTTGTAGTAGTGTTGTCATGCAATATTTGTCCTTCTGTGATTGACTGACTTCACTCAGCCGAGTGTCCTCCACGTTCATGCATGTTGTGAGGTTATTGTGGATTCATCATAATTCTTTAATGTTGCATAGTATTTCATTGTGTGTGTACACTGTAGTTTTTTCATGCATTCATCTGTTGATGGGCACTTAGGTTATTTCCAGCTTTTTGCTGTTGTGAATAGCGCTGTTAGGAACATGGGTGTGCATCTATCTAGTGGTGACGTGGCTCTTATTTCTCTAGAATATGTACGTAGTAGTGGGATTATTGGATTACATGCTATCTCTAGTTCTAACCTTTTAAGGAAGGACTGTACCATTTTCCACAGGGATTATACCATTTTACAATGAAAACCAATGTTCTTGATGAAGTTTAAGGAAGTTCAGAATGCTTGTCTTTGGTACAATATTGTTTCAGTTTAGAAACTTAGAAAAGGCGCATGCACATATACATTAGGTGCACATCCGGGATTTGTTTTCATCCATGAAGAACTGCTTGAGCTGTCTTATTTCCCCTTAATATTGGGTGTCCAGGTGTCCCCTTAACTTCTGGTTAGAGTTAAACTACTGCGTTCCTTCCTTCCGTTTCCGTACAATCCTGTTTTCTACTGTGTGCCCTCTTCCTAGTCTAGTATTAGTTTACTGTTGCTGCCCTCACACCTCGGTAGGCCAGAAGTCTCAGTGGGCTAAAATCAAGGCAGGGCTTCATTCCTTCTGGTGGCTTTAGTGGAAAATCTGTTTTGTTTTCTTTGCCAGTTTGCAGAGGCCACCTGCGTTCTTTGCTCGTGGCCCCGACCTTCGTGTTCAAAGCCAGCAGCGTAACATTTTCAGCTCTCAGACACTGATGTCCCTGCCTCCTGCCTCCCTTTTATAAAGACCCTTGTGATTACCTGGGACCTACCCAGATAAAAAGTCATCTTCCCATCTTAAGACTCTTACCTTAGTCACATCTGCAGAGTCCTTTCTGCACCTTGCTGTTGAGTCGTGTGGTGACGTCTTCACAGGGAACGGGCTGTGGACGTTTGGGGAGGCTGTGGTCGGCCTGCCGCAGTCCTGGTTCTGGCTGCGCTTTTCCTTCTTTCCCAGTAGTTTTTCTGAATTAGGCCAGCAGCTCGCTGACCCCCTGCTACCTGAGCCCACTGCTTTGATCCTCTTGGGCTCTCCTTTGCCTACCTTTTGCGTTCCTTATTTGATTTACTGTTACTGTAGTTACTTATGTGTGACTTCTCTAATTATACTTCATTTACCACGACTACCTGTATATTGAATGTTCAGGCTGTTTTACTGGTTCTCTTCACTGCTCTTTGCGTTGCCCAGGCTGGGGCCTCTGCTCCGCTCTTTGCCTGCTTCCTGCTCGCGGCTCTTTGAAGGCCGTATGCCCTTCCCTGATGTGCCCACCATGGAGGTTTGGAGCACTACATGTCTACGTTGTTTTATGATCGTCGTTCTGCATGTTTGTCACCTTCTCCCATTAGACTGAACGTTTCTGGCTTTAGGAACTGAGGTTTATTCATCTAGCACATAAAATTACCTGGTAAATGTTACGCGAATGGATCTACGTAGGATATTATCAGCAAGAGTATCTGGCTATTGAGTTTCACAATTTTTAAAGAAAATTAAGACTTTCCTATTTCATTTTCTAACCCTGATTGAGTCACTTCTACAGGCTTCAATTTTTCTTCATCTTTAGTGAATGGAAGTTTTCTTTCATTATTGGTTCTTATCTTTGTGTCATAGAGACCTTTGAGAAACAGGCTTTGATCTCTACTCTCAGAAAATGCACATATGCGTAAATAATACAAATTTAAGGGGGTGGTCAGTTCCTGTGATTAGGAACCCTTTAGGGATATTAGATGATACCTTTAAGCCTTCCTAGATTTAATGTTCTTCATTTTTATCATAAGGTAACAGTTAAGCAACATACTGCAGGAAAGTATTTATAGAAGTGGCTTCATGATTTTCTAGGCACTGTAGTTCAAATTCTCATACTGTGCTTCAGGTATTAATATGCTTGACTATTAAAGACTAAATCTAGGAAAAGTGGATGAAACGATCCTATTTTAATTTTGGAGAGAGGAAAAAAAAACTCTCCAAAATTAAAATAGGAGTTTGTTGTTTTTTAAGCTTTTTGCCTAGGTACTAAAACAGCTGTGTGGGTAAGGTTATAGCCTTCTGATCAGGAAAAGAACTGTCTGGCTTTTGTGATTTAGACATTTGGTTACCTGAAGGCAGGAGGAGAAGCCAGTGGGTAATTTCTAAAGAGACTTTTCATTGCTTTTCTGATTGTAATGTGGGTTCTGATACAAACAGCTGTCAAAGTCTCTTGTTTACAGTATGTGTACTTACATAATTAGTTTGAAGATGGAGGCCGCTGGCTTGGAAAGATTTAGGGTGATGGCATTTGAAATATTGTTTTATTCAACTGTATTCTCTCTTCTTTAATAAGGAAGTGAGAGCATTCAAGAGAGAAAGAAAAATAGCTGTTTGTATAACTTTCTAGATCTCTTAGCACATCAGAGGCTATTTGCCTAGACGTCCCCTGGCCAGTGTGGAGCATCTTTTGATTTTGCAGGAGTAGTTTCTGCAGTTTTATTGTATTAGGGGAAAATCATTTTCCCAGAACTGAAGATTACAGAGTAACAATATTAGCAATATGAGGAATATTTATGAATATATACTTCTGTATTCATATATGCCATCATCAGAGTGGTGGTGGCACTTGAGGTAAGAGGTTTCACTAATATTGATACTTTCAGTAGTCTGGCACTTGGAATGGGTAATATTTATTGCTATAATAAGTATGATCACAGAGACATACTGCTGTTGCCTGGACTTTAAGGGTAGGATAGAAGAACCCACGTTTGTGTTTCTCACTTACAGACTCAAGTAAGTAGCAAACTTTGTTTGAGGACGTTGGTGTGTATCCATTGCTCCGATGGCATGGCGCTAGGCTTTCCCTTCACTAGCTGCCATAATTTGTTGTTGTTGTTGTTATGTGCCGTCGAGTCGCCCCGACTCATAGCGACCCCTCCTTGGGTTTCCGAGGCAGTATCACTACGGAAGTAGGATTGCCCAACCTTCTTTATAACCTGGCATTCTGTTAGCCACGTTAAAATTGAACTCTGCTTGATGAATTCAGTATTGATATTGCATAAAATGACTTGAGTTGTGGTATTCTGACTGTTGATTTTGTTTTGGTTTAAGAACGTACTCCAGCAAAAGGACTGTAAACGTGGATTATCTGTCACACGTAAGGGATGCACTTGTACGGCCCTTGGCCTCCCAAGGGGTGGAAGGAGTGCAGGCTGTTGTTGCACTCATGGACACATACTATTTGATGAAGGAAGACTTTGACAATATCATGGAACTTAGCAGCTGGGGAGGCAAACCTAGTCCCTTTTCCAAGCTGGATCCCAAGGTAAATTGTATGACCCTCTGGTTCTCCTTCACCTTGTAAGTACCAGGATTCTATTAGGATACTTCAAAGGTACTTTAAGAAAAAAAAACAAACTCGAGTCAGATCCTACTCCTAGTAACCCCTCCTTGGGTTTCCGAGGCGGTATCTCTACAGAAGTAGATTGCCCAACCTTCCTTCCGAGGAGTGGCTGGTGGGTTTGAATCGCCATACTTTAGATGCTTTAAAAAAAAAGTTTAATTTTTTTCCTTAAATGCTTGCTTCTTATGACCTATGCTTTCTAAAGATACTATTTGAATACAGGAATAACAGTAGATTTCTGGATTTAACTTTATAGTTTGTAGTTTTATTTTTGATTTATGCTGATTGTAAGGGCAAGACGTGAAAGGTGAGGAACAAAACCTAGGTGTGCTCCTTGGAGGGAGGAGGGTGGGCCTTGGGAAGTCCAGCAAGCCGTGGGAGTGATTACGAAAATCAAGATGCTGTAGTAGCTGAGGGATGTTGTCATTTTTTTTAGTAAGCCTAATCTGTGGACTCAGGTTAACAATTTACGGTAACACTGTCCCCTCCTTTATTTCTGTGATGAGCATGAACACACTCGGATGATAAAACACGAACCTTTACTGTCTGATGCCTCACGCGCCTGTTGGTTTGGTGCTGCTCCAGAGGCCGCCTGTCTGTGCTCTGCCTTTTCTAGAATGTTGGCCTCACTTCCCAGCTGTCAGTAAATTCTCACAGCAGACGCCCACTGTTAGAATCCATGGACTAATTCTGGAATTACATGTAGAAGTTTCTATGTATTTATGAAGCTTGAAGTTAAGACTTTACAGGTTACCGTTTTGTCGTAACTATTAATTACTAGGGGAAAGGCAGTTTATGTATTTTGTGAGCTTTTTCCATTGATTGCTTCACTACCTTTGCTTACTACTTTGTAGAAGTGTGGACAGCACTAAATAGTTAAAAATGACGACTTAAAGTGCTCCCCACCCCAATTTTCTTGATTCTTAAATCTTTTTTTTTTTTTTGAGTTATGGACCATATAGAAAATGTTGTAAAAAATTTGGAAGGTTTCTCTATAAAAGAGTGCATGCAGTGCTGAGGGGCTTCTAAGGTCTCTCAGTGTCTTTAGACTTACAGACTTTAAAAGAATTGTGTGGCATTGAGTTGTCTTAACTCCCTCTACTCCTTCCCTGTAGGTCAAAGCAGCCTTTACCAGAGCTTATAATAAGGAGGCCCACCTTACTCCATATGCGCTTCAGGCAATAAAGACATCTAGACGCAGTATAGGTCCAGTGCTGGATTCTGAGTACAGCGAAGAGTTAAATGAAGATGAATCTCAGTCCGATGAGAAGGACCAAGATGCTGTGGAAACCGATGCTATGATCAAGGTAGTATTTTAAACAAGAGGCTTGAAGTAGTTTGGCTTCTTTTGCATATAATTTGCCTTCTGAATACTAATACTTGGTTATTAAGTAGCACAGTAAGTTGAAAATACTTTTAATTTTTTAGTTAATCACAGTTCAGGGTAGAGGAGGTGTCAATTTCATTATTTAAATAGGCAATTGGCTTCTTACCGAAGTAAAAGAGCCAAACAGTAAGAAAATAGGTCTTCATATTGATGGTTGGTCCGATGCTGTTACAAAGTCGACCATTTCATTTGGCCATTGGTGCATCCTTCTGACCAGAAGACACACTCTCAGCATAATCAAGAAAAACATTTTGAATGAAGCCATTTCACCCTTCTGTTATTTGTGTTTTGGTATCACTATTGAGATGCCTGTAGAAGTTTCTCAGAACAAAACATCCTTGTCTTTTGTTAGGAAAGTTGAACATAAACTCATCAGGGGTGTTAGCAGTCCAAGATCTAGGTGCTTACAACCTCTCTTCTCTTTTAATTAAGGTAGAAGTGATGGTTAGACTACTGTAGAAGAACTCATTTCACTTATTCATAAACACAGCTATTAAGTACTTTTGTGCATATTTTTCCCCCCAACAGAAAAAGACAAAATCTTCAAAGCCTTCAAAACCAGAAAAAGATAAAGAGTCCAAAAAAGGAAAAGGAAAAAGTCTGAAGAAATGAAACTGTTTCACCACTGACAACCACCTTTCACTCACCCTGCTGACCAGTCCAGCTGGTGTAAAGAAAGCCTTACTTTTTCAGAGGAACCATGTTTTGGCAAGAATGGGATGACCTGTGGTCCCATTATAAATAAATGGTGATAGGGCTAGAAGGATGTAACCGGTAGGCTAATGTACACCTCTTATAGAGGTTGATAGCACTGTCCCTTGTCAATCTAATCAGATTGTTCTTCCAAATTACTGTGTATAATTAAAACTGGAAACTAAACATGGGCTTTGGAGTTGGATTTTAGTTAACAGTAATATGCCTTGGAACATTAGTACTAAGGTGACTTTTACAGGCTTAAAAATTTATCCTAGTGGCCTTTATAGGACCAATAATTTTTTTTTTTAAAGTCATTATTATGTGGTGAAATTTTGTAAATAAATCATAATACAAAAACTGTCACCACTTAGAGCTGGGTGTTCTTTGTATATTGTCAAATATCTCACAAAGTATAAATTAGGAATAAAAATATTCCACATTATACATGTACAGATTCTTAAGCGTGTCATCTTGTACAGTAAAATATTATGTTGGTATATTACTTATTAATTTGCAGATGATTGGATAAAGCTTACTGTATTCCTTACTAGCCATTGTGTGAGACATAAGTTTGGCATCCGAACAGTCATTCCTGTTTTCATTCCCACCTTGAGTTTTACTGCAGGGCACAAGGTGCTAACCACATCTCTGCTGTGAATGGGATTTCATTACTCTTTGTTACTACTACAGGGTGGGGACTGCAGAGGATTGCTGGCTATTTTTACCCTTCTGATTCAAACCATCAGATTTGAATCTTATTCCCATTAGATCTTATTCCCAGTAGGGTCTATGCTAGGTCAGACTCGAGCCATTCTGCTGTGGGGCAAGATGAACACTGGTTTTGTTTCTTTCTTTTTTGGGGGATCTGGTTCTGTCTTGTGCTGGATTCCACAGACCTTACTGGAATTTTAGATTGTGCCTATAACCATACTTGTTGAGTGGCCCTGAGGCTGTGGAACTAGCCTGGAATTTAGGTGCCCAGCTATTTTTCAATCTTGTCAACAAATGCTCAGAGTAGCTCTGTGAAGCATTTTCTAAGAGATAAAAAACAAGTATACTGTTCCCTGCTTTTAAAGAACTGACGGTCTTGTTGGGAAGATGATGCATCAAGCTTTTGGGACATATAAGGTATATTTACCAGTGTGAAAAATGTCTTTCATGTAGATTAAATTCATTACAGGAATAAAACATTGCCTAAGCCTTTGCCTACTGAGACATGGCCCTCCCTCAATTAAAACCCAGGTTGAAACTCTTCAGTGAAGATTACTTGACTGACAACAGCTTTACCCCACCGATGGGGTAAGGATGGCCACCTTAGTCATATTCTCCCATTTCTGTTTTGGATATGTAAGTCATGCTTCCTTGGTTGGTCTGTACACCTTGGGAAAGGAGCTGTAATCTTGTATTCAGGACAATGCATAGTGTCATTTACTAGTTCGTTATGATTTTATGTTTAATTATAAATGCTTTAAACACAAGGTTGGCATAATACGTTTATTTTAGAACTAGAAATTATAAATATGCTCTTTTAATATAAGAAGGTGACAACATGGCCCTGTTGGATTTTTCTTCCTTTCATGATCATGAGCTGAACGGCTAGGGTTCATGGCAGGAAGGAGTTGGTGGTTATGCAGCAGTTTGGATGTGAATCTTAGTGGTCTGTGTAGGGACTGAATAGGTGCTATTTCATTGCAGCCAGTAGATACCACATATTTTCTTTGGGGCATAAGACTGCACACTTGCTCTTCTTGAGAGCAAGTGAGTGTCAGCCATTTCATAATCTGTAAAAAACTGTTCAACTCCTTCCTTTATCTGGTTAAATTTTGGTAGTCTACAGCACCACTCCTTGGAAGTGGTTCGGCAATCTACTTCCGTAGTGATACTGCCTCAGCAACCCAAGGAGGGGTCGCCGCTATGAGTCAGGCCCAACTTGACGGCAAACAACAACACCACC